AGAAGGGGGAGTAGCTTCTCACCCAGAAACCTGCCCATTCTCAGCCACTTGTCAACTTCCTCAGCAAGGACTAGCACTCTCAACCTCTTCAGGCAAAGCTACCTCACCTGCTTCAGGGACAAATTGCTTAATGACCTGAAACTGCATAAAGGTGCTGCTCAACAGGCACACAGCTGGCAGCTCCTGACAACACGGGCCAGTGCATCTGTGGTGGCTAAAATGCCTGGAGCAGTTGGGTGAAAGAGAGTAGCTTTTCCACTGGCGCTGTTAGGGCTGAATGTGGACAGTGGCTGGATGCTGAGTGGAAAGATCCAGGCTTCCTGCTTAAGTATTTGACCAGTTCAATCCTCTGTGTGGCTCTTTAATACCACCTTCTGTGCATAATGGCCTGATCATGCATCAGTGCTCTAGAAGTGCATCCCCTCACTGGCACTGGTTAGCACCAGGAGGAATTATGGAGCACTGTCCTAAATCAGGCTAACCATTAACAACAGACTTAAATGGTTTGTGAACTGGACATTTGTACCATGAAAGAGTACATTTTTTTATGTGGTGTATTGTTAGTCAGCATGGTCTTTAAGTATGTTAGGGATTGGACAACTTGCTGCCAACAGTACAGACCAGCCATATTTGAGCTACAGTGTAGTTTGTCAGGCTAACTTGAAAAGCTGGTCTACCTTTCAGTATGAAAAAAAGAAAAACCAAAACCAACCCCCAACCAAAAGCACTAGGAATGGTTCTGTAGTGGGTTTCTGTGGCAAGGTTTTGGTAGCAGCCAGGCTACAGGAGCAGTTTCTGTGAGGAGCTGCTAGAAGCTGCCCCTCAATCCCGCAGAGACAGACTCACTGCTGGCTAAGGCTGAGCCCATCAGTGACTGTGGTAGCACCTCTCTGGTGACACATTTTAAAAAGGACTAAAAAAGGCTGCATGAAGAGAGGAGTGAGAATACGTGAGAGAAACAACTCTGCAGACATCAAGGTCAGTGAAGGAGAGTGAGGAGGTGCTGCAGGTGCTGGAGCAGAGGTTGAAGCCTGAGGTGAAGACCTGAGGCAGGCTGTTCCCCTGCAGCCCATGGGAGAGCCCACACTGGAGCGGGCTCCTGGCATCCCATGGAGAGAGGGAGACCATGCTGGATCAGGTTTGCTATCAGGACTCGTCACCCCCTGGTAAGCCATGCTCGAGCAGTTCATGAGGAGCTGCAGCCTGTGGGAAGGACTCGTACGGAAGAAGTTCCTGAAGGACTGTCTCCCATAGGAGGAACCCCATACTGGAGCACAGTAAGAGTGTGAGGAGTCCTCCCCCTGAGGAAGAAAGAGCAGGACAGACAATGTCTGATGAACCGACCACAACCCCACCTCTCTGCACCACTGCACGGGAGGAGGTAGAGAATTCAGAAGCGAAGCTGATATTGGGAAGAAAGGAAGAGTGGGGAGAAGGTATTTTTAAGATTTGGTTTTATTTCTTATTACCTTACCAACTCTGAGTTGATTCGTAATAAATTAAATTCATTTCCCTGAGTTGAGTTTGGTCTGCCTGTGATTGTAACTGGTGAATGATCTCCCCTCGTCCTTATCTTGACCCATGAGTCTTTCATCATATTTTCTCTCCCCTGTCCAGCTGAGGAGGGGAGTGATAGAGCAGCTTTGGTGGGTACCTGGCCTCCAGCCAGGGTCAACCCACCACAGGTTCTTACTCCCAATTCCAAGAAAAATACCAAGCAAGAGACGAAAACTTCTCAAGTGAATCTGGAAACCATTTAACCAGGATCAAATGCAATTGGTTGTTTTTCTTAATGGAGAGCTAAGCTAAATCAGCAAAAGTGATGTGACTTCACCAACGTGCAAATGTATATAAAAGCCTAATATAACAGTATTTTCAGAGGGGGGAAACCGCATTTTTAAAGCTATCTTGGAAATACTAGACAAAATTTATTTGAAGCAATTAATTCAAAACATTTTTCACCATATTTCCTTCAGAATATGTGCTCCTACAACCGACAGGACACAGAATGGTCTGGAGATACCTACACATATGCTTTCCATTGCAAGGTTGCCTAGGAGCAGAGGTGTTAAATTCGCAATCCACCAGCAGCCTCCTCCACAAGGGAAAGCGTGGCCAGCTGAGATGAGTTGCTCCAGCAGCAATAATCCGTTCCCAGCCACCACCTACCAGGGGGAGGGCAGGGAGGAGGAGGCGGCAGCTCACCAGCTGCCCTGGTAGCAACAACACAATGGAAACCCAAGGGGGAACATCCTGCACTTGTGCGCTCTAGAGGCATGCACAAAAGGCCGAGTATTTTGGGACTGCAGAAACGCACAAGAGCCAGCTGCTCTGCACAGGGAAGCAGGTTGCAAGCAACAGTCTCATGGCCCCACCGCTGCTGCTCACCCAGAAGGGCTGACCCCTTTGCGGACTACCTGCCACCTCAGCAGGTAGAAGAGCTGATCACCCTTGCAGGGTGTCACTCTGTGGCAGAGGTAGGTAGGTGCAACTCCTTTACATTCAGCAGACACGCACATTTTCAGGACTCAATTCACTTTACTATTTTAGGTATCTGCTTTAAGGAGATGAATCACACCTAGATCACATCTTTCCCCATCAGCCAGAGAAGGAGCTTTGACGAGTTCAGATGCAGACAGCTACAGTTACTCAGACTGATCCAGCCTGGACAGTGTTACCTGCCCAGCTTCAAAATGCAGGCACACAAAATACACCAATAAACCAACAGGCAAGTCCGAGTTGTGAGGCCAGAGATGATACTTTCCTCATAAAGGAACCTGATTTCACCTCGGATGGAAAGCAAAAAAAGGAACTAAGAATGTGGCTCTGCCATCTCGCTGGTTATCTGGCACCACTGCAGGCAACATTTGCTGTGATCCCCATTTGCAGTGCAGCCCTACTGTACTTGGCCATTCAATGAATGAAGTTACTCAGACACCCGTTTGTCAACATTTTGCTGTCACACAGCCCAAGGCTCACATTTAGTAAGATTACTAAATATTCTTCCTCATTGTGGTGCTTCTCCATTCCTGCCAAAAGCAGCTGTGTTGAAAAAAAAAGGATTGGTACTGAAGAGCTGTGATTAAAATCTGAAATCTGACCTCATACATACACTAAATTGTTGCTTTTTCTTGTTCTAGCAGTCAGCAGTTTTTATTTCTTTCTTTTTATAGACAAGAAAAACGTTTTCAAAGGAAAAACAAAAACGTTCAAAAAAATTGACATAATCTCCATAAAAAACACTCCACTAAAAATCCAAAATTTTAATCTTGAACAATGACCTTTTTACAGAGATTTTAAAGATTAGTGTACATATTCACAAAAGCAGCAAACTAAGGCATCTTCTCCATAGCCATGTTTATAAATAAAAGACTTTGAAAAGCCATGTGACTTGATCTCATTTAAAACTTGTCAAGATATAGGCAGTAAAAATTATGAACAACTGACATTTGCATGTACTGGACTGTTTATATAATTATCATGAGTATGAGCTACATTAATTTCAAATCAATGAAACAAATACTCTAGTAAGAGCATGAAGCTTGAACATTATTTTAAAGTGCTCATTAGAAACCAAACATTTCAATTATAATTAAGAAATCTTAAAGATATTACATTCCTTTCATACCAAGTCTGAAAGCATAGTATGTACACAATCTACAGTCTTGTCTTTATAAATAGGAAATAATTTATCTATGTATCTCAAACATGACTAATAGGTGAAAGAAAGCTGAAAGATAATTTCACATTGGCCAGAAAAAGGAAAGAATAGAACAGTCATTGCATACAAACAGCTATCAGAATTTTGTATCCCCAGCACTGCCATTTTGGCGAATCTCACTGACAAGTTCTCTTTAAATCCACCCATGAAGCATCTGCCAGTAGAGAATTACAGCACCTCTCTTGTAACAGAACTGCTTGGGTGTCTAGAACTGGCAAGGCTGCTGCCAAGAGAAAACTTAGTTAGACCTAAGTCCCTTAATTAAACAGAAGACATACATGCTACTATGTATTACAGTTTGCAGTCAAACAATAAAAATTCGGAAGCTGTGTATTTTAATGAGCAGCAATGCATATAAAAAAATCAGACAAAACTATTCCAAAGGCATCTGTGACAAATCTAAAAGCCTGCATCAGCCTTCTTACAACGCTCTAATCAGTTCCTTTCAATCCAGAGTTGCAGGAACTTTGTTAGTTTGTTGCCCTGACAGGGGCTAATTAAACCTTCCCATCTCACTGCTAGTCCTCTGTGATTTTCACTTAGTGGTTTGGCAGCACGTGGTATCACCCTGTGTACAGGTCAAGCCTGTTTCACAGAGAACTAATACCAGGCACCCGTGAAACGTATTGTACATCACTGTACTCCCCACAGCGCACATACATTGCAACAACCCTCCTGAAAGTACAATAGGATAAGTTTTCAAAAGTACGAATGACTTGAAAACATGAGATCCAGAAGTGTTCCTTAAAGTACAATAAGAACCCCCTCATTTAACTTCTTCTCCTTACTTTCCATTTCTCAGCTGCCGCGAAGGACAGCATTTCGTTTTTTTCCCCAGTCTCTTCACTGTTTTTGCAACTAGACTTTGTTACTTTCAGACAGATACAAGAGTATACCCACTCACATACAGTAGCATGATTACAGTAAAATCAAAAGCCATAAAACAAGGGTGAACATTCCTAAATGGAATTTTAACTTCTAGTAAAAATTTCTGCTAGGCAAAAAATACACTCTAAAGGCAAAAATGCACTCTAAAAATCAGCTTAATATCTGCAGGAATAAGCCTCCTGTTTATTTTAGCCTCAGCTTAGTGTGTGGTCAGCCTGAACCATGCAATTTCTTAAAAGAACAGGTAGGTAAGAAGCTGTAAAGCTATACTGCTTCCCTACTTGTACCCACTAGTAGATTCTCCCCTTGCAAAACAACATTCATGTGAAGAAAATTTACTGTGGCGCTCAGAAGAGTTGAAGGCAAACACGTGTATGGGCAACAAGAGCTGTCAAGGCGACAAACGATTCAATGGACTGCCTTCTTCTCCACCTGCAGCAAGCTTGAGCGTTGTTAGCTTTCGAGGCGGATGCTGAGGACTCTTACGAAGGTTGTCATCCATCTGCAGAGAAATAATGAGAGCCGGATCTGGCAAACAGTAGAATATAGATTATACGATTAGTCTGTTTGTCAGGGCTGCCATCATTTATGCTGGTGTGGGGTACTTTTTACCCTGTTATTTCAGTCCCAGCTAAAACTGATGCCTTGGTTCCTATCCATTCCCAAAATATATGCTTGTGTTAGAGCTGTATTCCTCCTATTAGCATACGGTCCATCAAACCTAGGGCCAACAGGTGTGCTTCTATTCAAATCACTTTGGCACGATTACTAAAAAAGCAGCATTACGACCTTCTTCTAAGAGACCAAAGTTGCAATTTTGTACGATGGCCAAAAGTTCCTAAGAAGCCGGTCAAAAGTCAAACTGCTAACAACAATGGATGGTTTTGCATGTTCAACGCCTTGCAAGAATAAATCTTTCTCAAAATAAAAATATTCTGGTAGCACTACAGATTTCAAAAAGTATTTAATAAAGAATTTGTGATAAGATGTTTTCAAAGACAGGTTAAAATTAATCTCTGAAGATAAAAATTTTACACTTTCACAGGAACTCAATCTAAACTCTGCGCATAACGTTTTATCAGAGTCTGGTTACTACAGAATAAACAGAATCACAGAGGACATCACAGGGGAGATCTCCAGAGGCTGCCTAGCCCACTCCATTTCCTCCATGTAACCCATTCTTTAAAATACCCATAGCCACACTTCAACGCCACACAATGAAGATATAATGAATACCCAGTTGTCCTGGTTTGAGCTACACAAAATCATTTCTGTTCAGTGATTTTACTTTTCAGTTCAGTCTCCTGTAAGATGCTGCACTTTCTGAAGTTAACGGCATGTTTTTGCGGACAGTGTCTGCTACTAGCAGTGATAACACCTGACGGTTACAGTTACTGGTGAGCACTGGGATGCAGAAAGGCTCTTGCTTATACTTGCTCCTGTAGTGACCAAGGAGATTGCTGGATCTTGTATGCCACACTGAGGGTGCAGTAAAAGGGTCCTAAGGAAGTAAAAAGATCACACCTCCAGGGAGGAACATACAGGACAGGTGACTCAAACCTGATGAACAAAGTATTCCATTCCAGTCCTATTCAACATCTTTACTGATGACCTGGATGAGTGGATTGAGTCTATGCTTAGTATATTTGCAGATGACACCAACCTGGGGGGAAGTGTCACTCCGCTGGGTTGACGGGCTGAGGCCAACACTATAAAGTTTAACAAGACCAAGTGCAGGGTCCTACACTTTGGCCACAATAACCCCCTGCAGCGCTACAGGCTGCGGCAGGAGTGGCTGGAGAGCGGCCCGGCAGAGAGGGACCTGGGAGTGCTGGGTGACAACCAGTCAGACATGAGCCAGCAGTGTGCCCAGGTGGCCCGGAAGGCCA